AAAACCCACCAAAACTGAACTACCTTGCCTGAAGTGCATCAAAAATCACAATTCAAATGACCCTCGAAACTACACTTCTCCTACCCTTACTGCCGAGTGCAAAAACTGTACCACCCACCTACTGGACTCAAGTCCGACTAACTGGTTTCCTTCAATCTCTTTGTAAATGTTACCAAGCTCACACTCTAGCAGTACCTTAAACCTTAAAATCCACTTGTGTCCATTCACTCCATTCTAACACTCATGCACTCCTGCTAGATGCTCAAGCCCCTACAACTTAAAACCTTCTTCAGCCACTGCCTACTTGCTTCCTCAAGGTGGCCCCTACCCCTCCTTTCTTCTACCATGGCTTTATATATCCTCTTTGTAATCCTCACATCATCCAATTTCTGCACTCCTAATTCTCTGCGTAATACTCAACCATACACTGCTAAAATAAAAAATGGTTATAATATTAACCATTAATTTTTAAACGGGTTGAGGGGTAAGCCAGAGGAAGGCATCGGTCAGATGACCAAAAGCTCCAGTGGCAGGTCATCATCTGACTAAGACCTGTGTCAAGAAACACTCGTCTTGCTTCCTGACAAACCTAACCACACACTGCTGGCAAACTTGAAATGATTATTTGCAACTGGCTTAAGCTAAATAATTAGGCTTATATATTCAAATAAGACAAACCAGAACATCATGTAGTATTAAGTAATATGTGTGTAAAATATGTAATACACAACAGCTAGTTGTGTAGATTTATCATTTGGAGAATAACTCTCCCTAACACCAAACAGAGATAGTTTTCCAGACAAAAGTAAATTCGATTCAGTACTTCTTTAAGTTAATATCCAATATGAGGCAATGATGAATGAAGGAAGAACATTAAAGATAAGATAAACAGACAAAAAAACGTTATCTATGGAGGCAAAGAAGGGAATGTATGAAAGTATAGTAGTACCAACACTCTTATATGGGTGTGAAGCTTGGGTTGTGAATGTAGCAGCGAGGAGGCGGTTGGAGGCAGTGGAGATGTCCTGTCTAAGGGCAATGTGTGGTGTAAATATTATGCATAAAATTCAGAGTGTGAAAATTAGGAGAAGGTGTAGAGTTAATAAAAGTATTAGTCAGAGGGCTGAAGAGGGGTTGTTGAGGTGGTTTGGTCATTTAGAGAGAATGGATCAAAGTAGAATGACATGGAGAGCATATAAATCTGTAGGGGAAGGAAGGCGGGGTAGGGGTCGTCCTCGAAAAGGTTGGAGGGAGGGGGTAAAGGAGGTTTTGTGGGCGAGGGGCCTGGATTTGCAGCAAGCGTAAGTGAGCGTGTTAGATAGGAGTGAATGAAGACGAATGGTATTTGGGACCTGACGATCTGTTGGAGCGTGAACAGGGTAATATTTAGTGAAGGGATTCAGGGAAACCGGTTATTTTTATATAGCCGGACTTGAGTCCTGGAAATGGGAAATACAATGCCTGCACTCTACAGGAGGGGTTTCGGGATATTGGCAGTTTGGAAGGATAAGTTGTGTATCTTCATAGGTATATGCTTCTAAGCTGTTGTGTTCTAAGCACCTATGCAAAAACAGTGATTATGTGTGAGTGAGGTGAAAGTGTTAAATGATGATGAAAGTATTTTCTTTTTGGGGATTTTCTTTCTTTTTTTGGGTTACCCTGCCTCGGTGGGAGACGGCCAACTTGTTAAAAAAAAAAAAAAGACAGACAGAGGTGTTACTGGGAAATTGCTAACTCTTCAAAGAAATCTATGATACCAAGTTATATTATTCATGCATCAAGTTTAAAACAATAGAATTAAAGTATTGCCAGATAAAGAGATCAGTTATAAAAATCCCAGTAGAGCTACAAAGAGCACAAGCAACAGCGTAATAATTTGCTCTTAAACTGTGTGTACCAAGTCTAAATCACTCTGGTCATCAATATCAATGACAATAATAATTTTATCAGAAACAGTAACAGTGGGGTTACAGAGCTAAGTCTTAAGTTAACCATCACAAAATGATAAAATAGCACCATCTTACCTTCCTCTTGGTCGTGAGCCAGATCTAGATCTAGATCTGGACCTGGATCTGGACCTGGATATACTGTGGTTGCTGTCTTTTCGTATGCGACCAAATCTGTCAACTCTGAAAGAAAGAAAACTACCTATATATCTATAAAAGATGACACAACTTAATGAATGATTCTGGTTCAATCTATGTCAAAGTACCTTAGTCATAAAACTGACAAGATGTTGAACAAATAAAAATCCTTTCTTTCATCCTTTGATAGCTCACTCCTCTTGAGAGCTCATAGTTTTGAAAATGGCCTTATATGGAATTTTCTCTAAACAGTTAAATGATTTTTATATGTTCACAACTTTTGAAAAGGCATGTAAAATATATTCATCAAACTATTACAGGTCGCTATCAATTAGCGACTTCTGAAGGAGACCCTGACACAACTGCTTCTTAAACAACTGTACAAGTGAAGCAGTCACCTATTGTAATGAAAAACAATTCATACAAGTTAAAACATTTCTCTTAAAAAAAAAAAAGAGAGAAAAATAACTTTGAGAGCCTATCATTTAATGGTAATATCTACAGTAATTTCATATGGCTTCAAAACATTAAACAGACCCCACACACACACCTCTCCCTTACAGCAACTTTGGTCGGTTTAGTTTCTTGTCGTGGTGGTGGTGATGGAGGCAGAGGTCTGAGGACAGAATATTTTGTAGAAGCCGATTTAAGGAAAATGTGAAAGAATATCTAAATGATAGAGGAGCCTAATTTTGAGTACTGGTTTATTCTATTAATTACCTCCATAAAACAAATCATATCATCATTGCCAAATTTCCAACTCTCAAAAGAATGTTACACAGTCTATGCAAATTTATTGAATTATAATTTAGCAAGGGTAAGATTTGGGAGAAAAAATTATTTATAGACAGGAAAATAAACAACAATGTCAGTGAAGACAAAAATATACATATGCACACTAGGTTCTTTACACAATTCAATTTACTGCCACGCTAATAGCTTTTATCCTACCTCGGTACATTTCACAGTCTAGCCCTATCTATGGTACACTACCTCTCTCCAAACTGACAATTATATTCAACTACCTCAGTTCATTTACAAGACCAACCTGAATATATTACCACTCTCCACACTAAACATCCACAACAATTGACTACTTCAGCACATTTCAAAGCTCAACACTAAAGTACAGCAATAGTAGCCCCTTAGGATGTAATCCATAACAGTTGATTAACATCTAGGTATTAGTAGTATTTTGTGTCATTTAAGATAACTTAAAAATAAATAAAATCTGGAGGGATAAAATTCCACATGCCATGATCAGTATGGACCAAATTCATTTGGTGCATGTGTTATGTTATTTTTTGGTAAAAAGTAAGTCAAGAAAGGATGATTTTTTCTTCCTGATTTTGGTAGCGTTAACTATGTAGGAACAATGATCGACTTTTTCTTAGACCAAAATCATTTCTTTATTGTATATGGTCATTTGGTGCATGAGTAGTAAGCTCATACAAGAATCTGTACATAACAGTAAATCAACAAATGTGGGTTTTCCTAAACCAGTGCAGGTCGGACCACTCTCTATGCCTCTTGGAACTCATGCTGGCTGGAGTAAAGTATATGATCCACAATATGTTATACCCCAGCCTCTCTTCAAAGCACCTTTATCTAGAACACACACTATTGAATTTCATGGTTTAAAACTATATGATACTAGATCAAGAATATTACTGTCCCAGCCAACATCTCCAATTACAACATTGGTGTTCATGGAAAAATCAGATTCACTTAAGAGTGAGAGTAAAATTCACTGAAAGACCATGTGTTTGGTTTCACCTCAGCAATGTAGAGAATGCACAGTTGCCCAAATATCAAATTAAATTCTCTATCTTCCTAATATTCAAACTTGAAATATTATACACAGTGCCACAGAGAAAATAGCAGACATACAAACAAACCCATGTTAGGACAATTAAAATAAACCTGCATACAGAATCTGAATTTACACAAAGACCATTGGAGTCTAAATCATCCCTGCCAGCCTTACAGATGTCTTAATCTTAAGATGTACACCTAATACTGAAGGTAGTCCAACAGCATAACAATCACCAAACATGTGGCTGATCTACCTTACAAACAACTAGCAATTGAGATGTTTCACTCACCTCTCCCTAATGGGAATCTTGGGTGGCTTAATGTCTTGTTGGTGGAGTGGCGTAGGAGGGGGTCTGAGAAAACAGATAAGCACTTTATAGCTCAATGGTAAACCTAAATTTAATTCTGACAAGTATAGTGAGTGATGACACTCCAACCACTCACAAGGACAAAGCAGATTAGGTAATACAGCATAATATATGGAGGGCAGTAATCTTTGTACACAGCCTGACAATGATGCAGGGCAAAACATAACATTGTCCAAATATTTAAAACTTGAAGGTATGTTGTGATTAGTTGCCCCCTTTAATACTGTTCATATTAAAAAGTGGAGAATATTTGAATACTGAACATGTACTATACCTTTATTTCAATTTATTCTTTTTTTTTTTAAACTACCTAAACTAAATACCATTTTCTCATAAAAAGTCTGTTATTCTTATGTTCATCGTTTTTCACTGAAAAGCTGTAAAATGTACTTGGGTAAGATCCAGATATCTTTCAGTGAGAACCATGGAAGATCCACATTGGAATGTTATGCTATACCTCATTTCTGATAATATTAGATGCTTTATTAAGCCCTCATTCACCTCCGCTCAAATGGTTGTTGCCCAAATGTTTTGTTGCTCAGGTGGTTAGCTGAGGCCCACATAATTCACCCCAATCCAGTTGCCATCTTACTTTAGTGGTGCACAGATCACACCTTCACCTTGTAAATATTTCCACAGCCTTTGTCATGACTGGCTAGGCTCTGGTAGGCTCTGAGGCTGTCTTCAAGTTTTGTAGCAGTCCCTAATGCTTTTCCAGATTGTCTCTAGGAGTAGGCTATTTGTTCAGCACACAGTGCTGCTTATGTTTGTAATGGCTACTGACCTTGTTCATCCTCAGATAGATTCACTCTAGTACTGGGATCCTTACATACATGTTGTGTATGCCAACTCTTTGTCCTTGGTCCCCTTCCTGCGCTATGACTGGCAAGCAGTTGTGTTAGTCACCAGGCAGAACACAGAGTCCATCACTTGGTTTTCATGTTTTGTGGCTTCAGACCCCTGAACTTGGGTAGTGATGCTTAATTTTTCTCAGGTGATGCAAGCTATGCATTGGTCATCTGCTAAGCACTGGGATGTCTAGTACACCTTTCCCATGCGCTCTAGGAGGATCTCCAGTGGTGGTTGGTTTCTGTCTACATTCAGGGTGGACAACGTTACCTCCTCCTCCATGCTGCTTCAGAGTTTAGTGGAGGGAATACTCTTGACATATCCCCACAAAGTTCACAGAGCTCTAGTGTCCTCCTCAGCTTTAGTTTTTGGTGTACTAGAAGGAACCTTGGAGAATGTGCTCTTGGTTTTCCTTCTACAGTCCCGACTAACACATGGAACTTACTGATTATTCAACAACTTGTTAAGAAGTGCCTGAATCATTAGTAAAGTTTGGATGAAATTGTGAATGTAGCCAATGACTACAGAATTTGACCCCAATTTTTTTTTTTTTCAACAAACCAGCTGTATCCCATCGAGGCAGGGTGACCTAATAAGAAAAACGAAAATTTTTCTTTTTAAATTTAGTAATTTGCACAGGAGAAGGGGTTACTACCCCATTGCTCCTGGCATTTTAGTTGCCTCTTATGACACACAGGGCTTACAGAGGAAGAATTCTGTTCCACTTCCCCATGATATCTTCTCTAATAGTTGGCTGGCTCTGGTTGTCACCCAGACTATAGGGTATTTACTTTATCTTCTAACTCATAGAAAAAATCTACTCCTTTGTGTAGGAAGCCACTTATTTCCTTCCACTGCACCTTCCTAGGTATCTCCTTATCCATGTGAATAAACTGTAACATCACCGTTCAGGGTCACAAGAGTGAATACTTGATCCAGCTGCCTTCTGGTCAATAGCAGCATGGTGAGGTCACTGGTAATGGCTCCTGGTGGGTTTGGAGAGGTGTGTCTTGAAACTTATCCTTTCTCTCCAGTGACATTATGCATTTGATGTGAGTTACTTTCTTGGAAAACGGCCAGCATCCAAGTTCACTTGCTACTCTCCTGCTGGAACCTGCCCCCTTATTCTCTTCGGCCTTTCTCACAATTACATCTTCCCTTCATATGGGTACCTGCTGCATAACTGGTGGTGGGTCCAGGCATGGCAGCACATCTCCTACCTTTGATACCTGATGAAATGATGCTCACGATCCAATGGATGTTCCTCAGACAATATATATGCTTTACCCATCACCTTTGGAGTAACCATCTTCATTTCTGTGACACACTTGAGATGGGTTAGTCTGCTGTGTTTTCTTTACAAATCTCCATCTGGTATTCAAGTCATCTGGAATTCCTGTGACTGGCACCAGTGATGGGACATTATCCTGGACACCTTTCTCTTCACAACTGTGGAGAGCCCTTCACTATGTTTAGTGCAACCTGATAGTGGTAACATCATATTCTCGTAGACAGTAGTCCCTCACACTTCACAGCTGTACTAGGTTCCAAAACCCTGAGGTTTTGGAACCTAGTACAGCTGGTTTTCTTTTTAAAGACAAACAATCAACCTCCTTCCCAATTTATGCCTGATTAGTGTTAACATCACAATCTCAGCACCTCTCCTGGTACGGTATATAGACATGGAGTACCTAATTTTATAGATGGTTGTTGGACACCTTATAAGAGATAACAGGCCTGTATCACAAAAAAAATTAAAAAAAAGAATCTTTTAAAAAAGGATCATTTAAAAAGTCCCCAAATAATGCAACATATTGAAGTATTATACTTATAA